TGGGGGAAATGGAGATGGTGGTGTAGCCTTGTGTCTAAATCTTAACTTAGTTTGTCCCTCTATTCTTCTACCAATTTCTTGGAGTATCTCACCTTTCATACCTTTAATTTGAAGTTCCTCTCTGTCACATCCAGATAACATTCCAATTTCTAATGGAGGTATTTTCTCTGCTTTCTTGCCCCTGCACTGGGTGTCTTCTCTTCCTCTGATTCCAACCTCCATCTCAGCTCTTATTCCCGCTGAATTTTTACCCCCCCCTCCTCTTTCTGAAATCTCTCCCCTTCTAAACTTTGATATCACCGGTAAAACACACGGTAGCTCCCGACTCGGACAAGCATAGCAGACGTGGGAATACAATCAACTGTAAGTTCCCTTCCAAGCCACATGCCATCTTGACTTGGAAACTACAGTGCTTTTCCTTAACTGCTGCTGAGTCAACAGCACCATAGATGTATTTGCAGCACATGGATTGCAGTGGTCCAAGAAGGTAACTCACCAACAACACCTCAACAACAATTAGGTATGAACAGCAAATGTGATACTCATCTTGTGAATGAATAAAGGAAACTGTCATACCCATACATGGACATGCCCTTGCTCCCCTTTTTGTTATTATCACTGATGAAATGATCTAGAATCATTTTATTGTATCGTTCTCTACTGTCATTCCCCTTCCCAAGCCTCTTTTGCATTTCTTGGAGAAAGCAATTCTACCTGAAGTAAGTTACCAGTTAAATTCTCATTGTGCTGCCTTTTGCCTTCAATTCATATTGAAACTTCAGCAGCTCTTGATGGTCACATCCCTTTGTCCTCACTAACACTGTTGGTCTTTTTTTGCCTTAATTGTTCCCTGTGGTATACTACACATGTATTTTCTTAAGCCCCAGGAGGCAGACTGAACAGCTTCAGTGAACAACTGGTTTAACGAGTCGGATCTGCCTAGATCACTTAAAGTCACTGTCTGTAAGATGGTAAAGGCAGATGCCCTCATAACATTTTTAAGAAGTGTTTACATATGGATGTGTGATACCAAGACATATAAGGCTATGGGCCAAGTGCTGGAAAATGGGTTTAGAATAGGTAGGTTGTTGTTTTTAACTGATGCGGACTCAATGAGCTGAATTTTCTTTTTTCTGTGCTGTAGACCTCTTACTTATCTGGTTGTGGTCTCAATGACAAAAGAAACTGACCACTATTCAAAGAACATTCAGGAAGACAAAACAAAAACTTCTAATCTCATGAAGCCTTGCCTCCATCCATACCTGTACTCCTTAATCTACAGTTTCCAGTCAACCAATTGTTTAATGTAAAATTCTTTGTTTTCATATTTCTCAATCTCAGTCTTCTTGTAATCTTCATCAGCACAATTAGCCAATCTTTGCTCATCTGATGTCATATCCTTTTATGTGTAATGGTGCCTAATTTTGTCTCATCATGCTCCTGTGAAATTCCGTTAGAGTTTTATTCCATTAAAGGTGTTACATTAATGCAAGTTGTTATTGAAACAGTATCCACATACAGGTGTAATGACACTATCTGAGAAGAGTGTGGGCAGTCCTGTGCTGTCTTGTCAGAAGGGCTTCACAATATAAAGCTATCCTCACTCTTATCAGGCCAGAATGTGAACTGGGTAAATTGCAATAATGGAGCAGAGTAAAAGGAACTTTACTCACTTGCCTGGGTTATACATATTTGGATGCAAGATGCTAAAACTGGGACAATGTTCCTTCATTCCAAAGACCAACAAGCAGTAATGATATTGTGCTATGTAATGCAAATGCTGTGGATGGCCCTGTGTAGGAGCAACTAAACTATTGGCAATGCAGCTGGTATTAGATTATAGCTAGAACTAAGAAGGAATAGGAAACCATGATAGAGGGCTGAGGAAAATTAAAAGAAATTATGGAAGAAATGCATATTGGAGATAGTGCAGAAACTGTTATGACAGGAATTTCAATTTGAGAAATAATCAGAGTCATACAGCACAGAAACTGACCCTTCAGTCCAACTCATCCTCGTTGACCAGTCTTACCCTAGTCCCATTTGCTGGCATTTGGCCCATATCCCTCAACCCTTCCTGTTCATATACCCATCCAGATGCCTTTAAATGTTGCAATTATACCTGCCTCCACCACTTGCTCTGGCAGCTCATTCCATACATGCACTGCCCTCTGTGTGAAAAAATTACCCCTTCGGTCCTTTTTTTTAAATCTTTCCCCTCTCACCCTAAACCCATATTCTGTAGTTTTGGACTCCCCCCATCCTAGGAGAGAGATCTTGGCTATTCACCCTAACCATGCCCCTCATGTGGAGGTGCTGGTGTTGGATTGGGGTAGACAAGGTCAGATGTCAGTTGACACCAAGTTGTAGTCCAACAGATTTATTGGAAATCACAAGCTCTCGTGAGTGTTACCCCTTCATCAGGTGAAGTCAGGGCAATGCTCCGAAAGCTTATGATTTCAAATAAACCCATTGGACTGTAACCTGGTGTTGCCTGACCTCTTAGCGTGCCCCTCATGATTTTATAAACCTCAATAAGGTCACTCCTCAGTCTCCGACACTCCAGGGGGAAAATGCCCTAGTGTATTCAGCCTCTCCCTTTAGCTCAAGCTCTCCAGTCACGGCAACATCCTTGTAAATCTTTCATGAACCCTCAAGTTTAACAACATCCTTTTTATAGAAGGGTGAACAGAACTGAACACAGTATTCCAAAAGTGCCCTCACCAATGTCCTGTACAACCACAACACGACATCCCAATTCCAATACTCAATGTTCTCACCAATGGAGGCAGGCATGCCAAACGCCATTTTTCATCTTAAGAATAAGTTCCTTTGGAGCTACTGATAGCTTGGAATGCCATGGTTTGTGATTTTTGCAAAACCTGTTAACAGAAACTGATAATTCTGAAGATATATTTATGATGTATATACTCATAAGTAACAAGAAAATTGCAAACATGTATTGAATTAATGGCAAAGTCTCCTGCTTGTCCCAAGCTAACTGTTCCACCCAATTCCTAAATATAAGATGCAGCCTAAGAACAGTAATTGGACATTCCCTTTGTTATCATTTTCTTCATTCTGTTTGGCTGATCTATACATCAAGTTAATTTATTTCAAATCCCTTGATATTAATATCCAAAAGGATAAATTTGTCTCAGTCTCAGTCTTGAAAATTTAAATTTACTCAGTATAGCACTACCTTTTGTGGAAGTGGGTTCCAATTATCCATTGTCCTTTGTCTGAAATGTTGCTTCCTGATATTCCTAAATGGCCTGATCTTATTTTAAAATTGTTCTGGATGTCGCTTTCTTGCAAGCATTGAATTTATAAAGGAATCTTTTCTGTTTCCTTGTTCTTCTGATTCTTTGTTCTTTAATGGCCCTTATACTGACAGGTGTGTATAGTTTGCAAATTGTTTGCACATCAAATACCAGCCATGAGTAGTGGTGTCTACCTCCATTGTTAGATCATTGCTCAACTTACTGAGTGAGTTAGAATGCAAGTCAAATTGATGAAACCTGTCCTGATAATTTAATTTACCCAACCATGTGTTTGTGCTACACCTTTTTCAATAGTTTCTCTGCATCTACCCTACCAAATTCTTGCTTTCTTGGGGCTGTGTTGGAATCCCTTCCATCAGTTTTCACCCCTGCAATGATACCAAAAAGACTAATGTTGAATCATAACGACATGCCTTGTGACTGTGACAAAAGTAAACTATTCTCTGCTCATCCCTACTGATCTTTCAGGAATCTTTGACATGATTGACCACACCATCTTCCTCCAATGCCTCACCCCTGTTCGTCTAGCAGGGTGTACAGCTACATTCCCTGGTTCTATTCTTATCTATCTAAACGTAGCCAGAGGATCACTTACAAATGGCTATTCTTCCTGCTCCCACACTATTGCTCTTGATGTCCCTAAGAATCTATCTTTGGACCCCTTTTGTTTTACGTTTTCATCTGCATGCTGCTCATCAATGGGGTCTTCCAAAAACACTGTCAGTTTTCACATAGATTCCCTACAGTGTGGAAACATGCCATTCAGCTCAACAAGTCCACACCGACTCTCCAAACAGCAACCCACCCAGACACATTTCCCAGTGCTAATCCGCATAACATCGGACTGTGGGAAGAAACTGGAGCACCTGGAGGAAACCCAGGCAGACGTGGGGAGGACGTGCAAACTCCACACAGACAGTTGCCCAAGACTGGAATTGAACCTGGTCCCTGGCGCTGTGAGGCAGCAGTGCTAACCACTGAGCCACTGTGCTGCCCCATGTAGAATGGTACATGTACAATGATAATGTCCAGCTCTACCTTACCAACTCTCTTGATCCTTTCACTGCCCCTAAGTAGTCAGACATTAGTCCAACATCTAATTTGGATGGGCAGAAGTTTTCTTCAGTTAAATATTGAGGAAATGGCAGTCATTCTCTTTGGTCCCTGCCACAAAGTTTACTCTCCAGCTGTAGACCCCCATCCCTTCTCTGTGGCGGTTGTTTTGCAGCTGTATCAGATTGTCCACAGCCTTGGTGTCCTATCTGTACCTGAGGTAAGCTATTTAATCCAATATCTGTGCCATCATTTAGATTGCTTATTCCTACTTCTGTAACTTTGCTGGATTCTGTCCAGTTATATGCTGGGTAGTTAAAGAACAGCAGTGGATGTAATGTATTTGGATTTTCAGAAGGCATTTGATAAGGTACCTTACATTAGGCGACTTAATAAGAGTCCATGGTATTGGAAGTACAGGTAGTTCTCCTATAACACAGTAGTTGCATTCTTGTGTGACCTCGTGCTAGAGAAAATTGCCACAGAAAATCGTGTTGTAGGGAAATTGCTATAGAAAGTCGCTATACGTGTACAGCAGAAAGTTTGCATTATCCGAACAGTGTCCACTAATTAATCGCATTACAGCCAATTCGCATTAGCGAAACATGTGTTATAGCAGAACTACCTGTGGTATATTAGCATGGTTACAGGATTGACTTAATAATAGAAAATAGAGTTGGGATAGGAAGTTCCTTTTACCAGATGGCAACTTGGTGTGCAACAGAGGTCAGTGCTGGGACCACAGTTACTTACAATATACTGTAGTTTAATGACTTGTATGGGGAAAGTGAATGTACTGAAGGTAAATTTGCAAAATAACAGGAAAGGCAAATAGTGAGATGATAAAGAGTCTGCAGAGGGACATATACAAATTAAGTGAGAAGGCAAAAGCTTAACAGATGGAATATAATGTGAGAAAATATGAGTTATGCCCTTTGGCAGGAAGAATAGAAGAGTTCAGTATTATTCAAATGGAGAAATACTGCAGAATGCTACAGACAGAGGGATTTTGAAGTCCTTGTCCATGAATTACAAAAAGCCAGCATCTAAATTTAGTGGGTAATGGGGAAGGCAAGTGGAATGTTGGCCTTTCGAAGGGAATGGAGTGTAAAAGTAGGGACGTAAAACTATACAAGACATTAGTCAGATCACAGCTGGAATAGTGTTAACAGCTTTGGGCCCCTAATCTACAGCAAGATATAGAGGCAGTTCTGGAGTCCATTCGCAAGTCGATTTATATGTAGGATAATGGAAAGCTGCTGTTTGTAAGTACAGGAAATGTTCATATATCAGGTTTTTAATGAACATATATGGGATAGCATTTGTGAGTATGAGTATTAATAAATTAGTAAATTGGTGAGCCACTGTATTGGCATTGGACGTAGTCCAAAGAAGATTCACGAGGCTGATACTAGCCGTGGAAGGACTGTTTTATGAAAAGAGGTTGAGTGGATTGGACCTTTACTCATATTATGGAAGAATGTGCAGTGATCTTATTGAAACATATGAGATCCTTAAAGTACTTGACAGGGGAGATGCAGATGGATTATTTCCCCTTGTAAGAGATTCTAGGACCAGAGAACATAATCTCAGAATAAAAAGTCACACATTTAAGACCGAGTTGAAGAGGAATTTCTTCTCTGAAGGTAGTTAATCTGTAGAATTTTTTTACCATAGAGGGCTTTTGAGGTTGGGTCATTAAATATATTCAAGGCTGAGACAGACATGTTTTAATCTGTAAGGGAATCAGGGTTATGCAGAAAAGAAAGAAAAGTGGAATTGAGTTTTATCAGATCAGGCATGTCTCATTCAATGGTCAAGCAGTCTCATGGTGGGCTGAATGGCTTACATCTGCTTATACATCTTAAAGCTCTGTCAACATCTTAATTTACATCAAGTCTTTCTCACCCAACTCCCTTTTGCTCACTGTCCTAGATTCATTCCTGTTTAAGCAACGTCCGTTTCAAATCCCTGTCACCTTGGCCCACCCCATCTTCCATTCCCAATGTCACAGTTCTAAAAGTTATCTGCTCTAATTCTGACCTTAATTGCTTCCACAGCTGCCTAACTTCTGGAATTCCCTCTCTAAATTTCTCTCCACCTCTTCCTTGCATTCCTTCTTTAAGACATTCATTAAAATCTACCTCTTTGGCCACCCTTATGGTCATTGGATCTAATATCTATTATCTAGTATTGTTTTATAACGCCCCTGTGAAATGTCTTAGTACGTTTCATTGTATTAAATGTGACGTAATTTTTAAATCTATGCATCATTTAAAATCAGTCCCACCAATTAAAACATACACATTTAATAAGGACAGTTGCTGATATCAGTGAAAAATTGATAACCTTTAGCAAAGTTCAAAGTTCCTGGTTATTGTATCTAAAGTGCACTATATATTTAGTGTCAGAAATGGTTGTGCGTATTCATATTTTCATGTTCAATTAAAAAAAACATCGGTTTTCCAAATTGCAATAGTGCAGCAATGCAATATACTTGCATATGCAACCTCTGGATGTCTCAAAACTCTTTACAGTCAACTAAGTAGTTTTGAAGTGTAATCAATGTTAGGGCACACTGCAGCCAAATTATGCTAGGCACTGTGACAATTATTGGATAATCTGATTTTGTGATGTTACTTAAGAGTAATTATTGACCAAGAACACAGGAGATAACTCCTCTGCTCTTTGTGTTTGGTTACTTTTATGGCAGTACCATCATCTGTTGGTCTTTTATTTTTCAGAACATTATTTACCAGTTAAGCTCGAAGATCTAAATGCCTGCTTTCCCATGTTGAGCTTGGATGCCAATATTCAGGGTCCAATGTCTGACTCTCAAGGCATACATTTTTCTGCATCTGTATGCCCTCTGCAGGTTGTTTGATAATTCACTTGCACTTAGGTATTGAGCAAGCCAGTGTGCATACGTTGGGTTAAAGTCCTTTGTCAAAGACATCAATTCCATGGCTCAGCATGTACATTGAGAAAACATTTGAATTTATTTTTCTCAAATTCCAAGTGCATGCTCTCATAGTTTATCATATCGAGTACAAGGGGAAGCAGTGGCTTAATGGTATTGTTAGACTATTAATCCAGAACGACAGGTAATGTTCTAGGTTACCTGGGTTCATAATCTCACCAATGCAGATGGTGGAATTCTAATTCCATAAAAATCTGAAATTAAGAGTCTAATGTTGACCATAAAACCATTGTTGATTGTCGGGGTAAAACATCTGGTTCACTGATGTCCTTTAGGAAAGGAAACTGCTGTCTTTACCTGCTCTGGTCTTCATGTGACTCCAGACCCACAGCACTGTGGTTGTCTCTCTACTACCTGCTGGGCAATTAGGGATGGGTAGTAAATGCTGATCTGGACAGTGATGTACACATTCTGTGAATGAATAATGAAAAACTCCTGATGCCTTTGTTATTCCACACTCTGTGTCGATGCTTCTTGTTAACATCGGGCTCCTACCAACACAATTGGGTGTCTTGACACTTAGGTTTGCAGCCAGATTTCATAATCTAAATTATTAACTATACGTGGAGAAGCTGATCATGTTGATAAAATCATTTTGCTAATAAACAGAATTTTCAGAACAGTAGCAAAGTTCATTGTGAATGAATTCTGGATCAGACTAAAAGGTAACATTTATGTAATATATTTTACAACCCAAAATGCTTAGAACCGTTGAAGAATTTTGAATTGTCATTGTTGAAATAAAATCAAGCAAAGAATACATTCACCTACTTGAAACTGTCTTTCAAAGAATTGAACATGGTGAATATTCCACATCTCCCTCTTGTGGAAGCAATGTCTGTACTGCAAAATCTCATCAGTAGTTCATCCATCAGTGGGTGAATAAGCATTTAGTTTTATCTGGTGCATGTAAAATGTTTTATGACCATTGGATTGATTTGAATTGCTGGCACAGTTAATTAATAGACATGGCAGGCATATTCTACATAGCAAAGTCCAAAAAGAGCAACTAAACAGATGATGGATGATCTGTTCTTGGTGTGGTTGGTTGCGAGAGAATCTTGGATGGAACCCTCAAGGAACTTCATTCTCTTCTAGGAATAATGCCAAAGTTGTTTTACATCTACTTCAGCAGGTAATGAGGATAATTTTAATACCATATCTGAATTCATTTATTTAGTAACCGGTTAAAAAAGTGGCTTTGAAATAAATTAAGGGGGATAAATGAATTAATCTGTGTAATTACTAATCACTGAGAATTATGTTGGAGTCAATTTTCTTACGCTACAATGCTTTAAGTATAAATCATGTATGATGAACAATTGAAGATATTTTCTATCTCATAAATTATTTACTTGATTTTCAAATTAAAATATAAATTACAATCAATTCAGCAAGTGCCACAATTGTAATTAAGAGCTTGTGAATTGACTGCTCAGTGTTTGACATGCACATCTTTTCCCTTTTTCTCTTTTAATCATTTTGTTTATAAGAAGCTGAAAAAGAATTTCCTAGGCAGAATTGCTGTACTCAGAGGATTGGTAAAATTCTCTTTCCCAATGATCAGTGGAGGCTAGGTCATTGAGTTTGTCAGGGTTCAGATAGATAGATAGTTGATTGGCATTGGAGTCAATGGTTATGAGAGTCAGGCTAGAAAGTGCATTTAAGGCCAAAATCAGATCAGTCACAATCTCAATGAATACCCTAATCGTCTCCTTTTATTTGTGTTCATACTCATAAACTCCTGATCAGGTCTTCCTTAGGATTTGTAATGGTCTTTGTCTTGGATCTCCACATTATTAGAACTGCAGAAGAGTTTACATAATAATTTGATCTAAGCATGCACACAAATTACATGTGTATATATTCTTACTTTTAGTGGCTGGTTTATCTGAGGGGCAGGAATTAAGCAGCATAGTTGTTCATATTGGACAATCATTCACACGTTACAGGGATTTAGGTTCATGCTCTGCATGGTTAGATGTTATCTAGGGCTCTTGATGGTCAAATTTGCCTCTTTTCATATTTTGGTTGGTTTTCTACACAAATGATCATACAAGAGTGTCTTGGCAAACATGAAACTCCAAATGTTTGTCAGTAAACAGGATGAACACTAATGGAAACTTGCAGACAAACCTGTTGCAATGAAAGGTTGGTATAAACAGAATGAACTTTTCTAATTTCTGCTGAGAGCACTTACTAGTCATTTTCATAAGCATTTAAATTGAATTGTTTAGAAATTTAAGGCTAGTAATGTAATAAGTAAGGCTCAAGATCTGCCACTCTTTGAAAAGCATGACTTGAACCAACACAGTGGCTTGTAAGTTCCTGCAGAAATTGAGCCATATAACTGGGAACCTAAAGCAATAAGACAGTTTGTTAAACTGATGGCATAATAGTGTTGGATTAGTAGTCCAATGATCCCAGGCTAGTGTTCTAGTGACATGGGTTCAAATCTTACCGTAGCAGATGGTGAAATTTGAATTATATAAAATTCTGGAATTAAAAGCCAGCCTGATGGCAACTGAAATACATCTGGTTCACTAATGCCCTTTGGGAAGGAAATCTGCTGCCCGACTGAGTCTGGTCTACATCTGGCTCCAGCAAAGGGGTTGAATCTTAACTGCCTCTGGGCAATTAGAGTTAGTGAAACCGTGATACCCACATCCCATGAGCTGATACAAAAATTGTGTAATCTGAATATGCAGGAGCGATGTTTTCAGTGAATTCATTTTAATGCAACCATTAATTTAAAAAGTAACTGTATTGAGTTAGTGTTCAGCTGATAATGTTATGGTAAATCTCATTCTATTTTGAGGATGGAATAAACCATGGTGTGAATTTTCCAATGGCCCTTAATTTTCATTGTTCTTAATACATTATGAAGTTACTCACTGTCATGTAGTGCCTTTTCTTGCTAGAATTATTAAATATAGGAATTAGATTTGTTTTTGTGTTTTTTACTGACAACATGGAAGCAATAAAAATAAAACACAACAGGTATAGATTAAGATGTCAATTAGAATCGGAATCAAGGGGTATAATTGTCTTAATTCTGCTATATGTGATCTTCCCCCTACTTAATTCAATTTAAACCAGTCAATCTATTCAATGAAACATTCATAGAATCATTATAAAATGGTAACAGCACAGATGGAGGCCATTTGCCCAAATGGGGCCGTATGGGTTCTCTAGGATAATTTAGCTAGTCCCCCACTTCTGTCCTTCCTCCATTCTTCCAATATTTTCCCCCCCGGCACTTATACAATCCTCTTTTGAAAGCTATGATAGAAACTTTTCAATACATTCTCCTAGCAGTGATATCCTGATCCTAACTACTTGCTGCCTTGAAATTATTTTCATGATGCCTTTGTTTTTTTTTGCCAGTCATCCTAAGTCTGTATTTTGGTTCTCAAACTTTCTGCAAATTAGACTTCTCATGGTAGACCTATTCAATCAAATCTCATCTTAACTTTCTGAAGAGAGAAACACAACTTCTCTGATCTATTCATATCATGGAAGTCCCTCATTGCTAGAACCATTCTTGTAAATCTATTGTGCATCTTCTCTAAATTTAATTCTTACTGATATTTTTCCAACAAAACTTATCGTAACATATCATAACTCTCTTGATTTTGCCCCACTTCAAAATTTTTAAACAACTGTATCATTAGTTTGCAGATGTATTATTCATGGCAAAACCTCAATCAATCCGTATCCCTTTTTCATGCAGTATATATTGTTGTTTCCTTGAGATTGGTAGCAGAAGATTTGAAGTGATGTTCAACAAGGATCACTACTGCTCAGTTTACATTTAACAATTTGGATTTTAGAATCAAAAACAGAATTTGCAAATGACACGTTTTTGGAGGAGAGAAATAGAATGTGGAACTCACTACTGAGAATTGAAACAAATAAGGATATTTATAAATGTAAATAAAATGATGGTCAACAAAAATGAGGTAATACATTTCGATAGGAAGGATGAGGAGATAATTTATTACTTGCAAGGTGCAAGTCTTGTTGGGGTAGAGAAACAAAGGGAATTTCCTTTTATGATAAACGTTCACAGCTGTTACAGTGGTGAAGTACAATATATTAATGTCAATTGTGCTGTTTCTTTTCCTGGCTCTTCTATAAATAATTTCAGTACAAATATTGAGAATACAGCAAGTAGCAGCAAATTTATACACCGAATGCAAATCTTCCACAGCTTGGAAAACAAATATAAAGGTCATATGAAGTGGTTAGTAGGCCCCATCACTTCACACCTATTCATTCTAACAAAATAAAATCCCGTGTACTGTGAATATCTGTACCTAAAGAAAAAGGTGAAGTTCTCACACAGAATGCAAATTTCTAACATTAACTGTGAAACACACTAACCTATGTCAAAAAGAATGTGAACTTCTAACCAACTTATGATTTGCCCATTGAATAAATGCATTTTGTTGTAGTGCAACAAATTTCACGTGTTAAAATAAAAATACTAAAGTTATCAACACTTAGCAGGTCAGGTTATATCTTCAGAGACAGAAACATAGTCAACGTTTCAACTGGATGGCTGTCTTGCCAGACTACAAGATAGGAAACAGGATTGAGCTTTTCAGAAATATGCCGCTACAGATGATCCTGGAATACGATCACTTCTGCCATACATTTGTTTTCCACCACACGATGTCTGTTACTTTTGGAGTCAATTCTGAAGGAAACCTGACTCTACAGAAGAGGAAAATTCCCACATGCACATACTGCATTTTAAGCATTAGAAAGCAGGCAGGTGAACATTGTTACAAATATTTGTTAAATTTACAGGAAAATGGTGACAAATTGTCAGGCGGCAAAACCTGTTTTTGAGGGAGAATTCTATTCAGTATTCTATTCTACTGAATGCTTTAGATTGTCTCTGCATTTTAAAACTATTCTTCTATTTGTTGAAGACATTTTCAGATTGTTACAAATGCACATTTGAGAAGTAGGTATCAAAAGACCAGGAAGCTGCTTTTAGTATGATTTTGGGAGCAATGTATGGGTTACATTTTAACGAAGCTGCTGCACATTGCTACATGGAACATACCACAAATTGCATTATCCAATGAAAGCAGTGATGCACTTCATCTCAAGGGGGTATAAGGTAGTGTAAGACCCAAGGAAAACAGAGGGTGGTGTAGTTATAGATAGTTTAGTGAGTGGGCAAAAGCTTGACAGATGGAGTTTTCATGTAGGAAAGTGAGTGTTCATGCACTTTGATTGGATTATTTTAAATGGAGAGACTCCAGTAAAGTGCAGCACAGAGGGATCTAGCTGTTCTTGGGCATGAATCACAAATAGTTAGTACACAGGTGCTACAAGTAAAAACCAAGATGATTTTTGGCCTTTATAATTTTGGGGGGGTTGGAGTTTTAAAATGTGTAAGTTTGGTCCTTGTTTAAGGATATATTGGCATTGAAGGCACATTAAAATAGATTCAGCAGGGTTGATTTCAGAGATGAAGGGATTAACTTAACAGGCTTATTGAAGTTTAGGTGATTTTATGGAAACATACAAGATTGTGAGGGGGTAAACAGCATAAGTAATGAGATATTTCCACAAGTGGGAAATCTCAAGCTGGGGACATAATTACAGAATAAGGGAACATTCATTTAAAACTGAGAGGTGCAAGAATTTCTCCTCTCAGAAGGTAGTGGATGTCTGGAATTCTTTAGCCCAGGTTATGTAACATAAATTATAAAGTTATTTAAACAGTTGAATCCTGGGGCAGATCAACCGTGATCTTATCAGTATGGCAGAGAAGGCTCGAGATATTGCATGGTCTACCCCTGTTCCTTTGTCTGATTTTTATACCATTTGTAGTTCCCTACACTACCTCATACTGAATAAAACACTGTCCCCTTGTATTTAATTTCAATGGCTATTTCTTTATGTGAGCCCAAAAAATGGGTACTGCAAGCTAAATAACTGTTTGCATGTTAGCTACCTCTTCTTACAACACCCACACATTTATTTTTTATAAACAAAGATATCGGAGAGAAGCAAGAATTTCAAGTTACACATCCTCTCACTAACAAGTGAGCAACACCAATTTTAGCGCACGCCTTTCTGACAAGAGCCGAAGTGCCAAAATCTGTGAGGATCACAACGATCCAGTCCGGTAGTACAACACAAGATGTTTTCAACCATGTCATTTGCAAAATTGTCACTATAATAGTCTGCCTCTGAAATCCCTACCACACATCATTCTGCAAGCTGCCTTTATCTCTGTTGTTCAATTGCAAATCATCAGCATATACTCAGGTGGCCTCTCCAGGACTGTTTTCATCCCCTGCTGTATATGCAATATAATGGCTGAATGATCTGCAACTTGGCCTCAATCCTCTCATTATGCAAGTTTGTAATTTGCTACAAATAATAAAAATACTCCCATGTCCATTATTTTGCAAGTTCCAAATATCTACTCCAAAGTTAAAAGAATCTATTAAGCAATAGTAATTTCCAAACAATAGTCATACTTAATGTGAGAGACTTTTAAATGCCTTCACAATGTACTGAAATAACTGCCCTAGAAATAGTTGACAGACTTATAAACTAAGCACCAATGTAACCACTCGTAAGTACAACTATAAACTACCCACTAGATCTGAAATAAAATAGGTTAGACCACGGTACAGCCTGAAACAAATCTTTGAGACATTTACACTTAAGAGAATAATTCTGATAAGTCTATGGCTTCAATACCCCAAAATCCTTCCAGTTATATTTTAAAATTGTGTGGTTCAATCATTAAATGGAAGCTTGCTGAGCAGCTCAGTAAGCTAATGTCCAGTCACACAAGACACAATATCAAGGTTGCAGTTTTATTTACAAGTAGTGAGAAAATGTACAGTTTCTTACATGGGTTACTATAGTGCAAAGTTATACTGTCACTTCAAAAGACTAATGTGCAGAAAAAAAAAAAGTACTTAGAACATCAGACAATACAAGGTACAGGTCTCTTCCCATATCCCACATCACTGCATTAGGTATCTGAATATACAAGTTTGGTCTAACGTAACTAATGGGATTATTGATGGCTGTAATTCTCAACAAAGTGAAAAGCACTTCATTTAATTTGAAGAAATTAAAACAAAAGCATGCAGCAACAGCTCTCTCAC